GCCTTTTTCAGTTACTTATTGCAGAAATATTATATTTACTTAGAGGTTGTGGCTCGTCATCCTTTTTGCAGCGTCTTGCTCGAAGTATTGCGTCAAGTTCAGAGCAGTCTTCGTGTTCTTCGTCACCGACAGGATAACAACATTCTTCTTCAATCGAAGTGCAACTCTCATCATCCTCTTCGCCGAAAATTAGGTCTTCAAACCATTCCATCCAGGTCTTCTTCGACTTTAATGGTTTGCCTTTCGCTAACGCTTCCCTGAAAAAAAAAATCAATAGGGAAGTCAAAATGTTCACTCCATAGAATGTTGGGAACAATAATTTTGAAAAATTAAGGAGTTACGTGCTTCGCGATATTTTCGAGTCGCGTATTAATGACAGAATAATGAAAATATAGCATTGACATTTTACAGGCTATTAATTTAATAAATATACAGTACAATAACAGAGACACTTTTCGATGTTGGGAAGGAATGCGAAATTTTTACTTCATTCAGAAAAACACATCCTTTTGTCTTCTTATAAAAAAGTATGTGCAATTTTCAATTGCTTAAAACCACATACAATTTCCCATATTGGAAATTTCGGCCTTCACCCTGAAAATAATAATCAGTCAATCGCACCCGAAACTAAATAGTATTCATAATATATTTGTACTTCGTCTTTTTAATTTTTCGAGCATGGACCTCATTTGATTCACTTGAGATGAAAAATATTGGCCTTCTTAAAAAATGAAAACTGAAGTAGCCTATTTTCTTATGTGATCTCTTGAACTGTTGAAGAAATATAATGGCCTTAAATTATGTACATCCAGTCTCTTCACGGATAATTAAATGGCATGAAAGAAAATAAATACAATGACCTTGAATGCTGTGAATTACCCCACCAAACTTCATTACTCAACCAAAACGTTCATACAGTATTTTGAAGTTTAAAAAATGTTGACTAATAAGTATATTTCAGTGATAAGGCCTAAATCTGTTTTAATTAAGCCCATTATTGTCACTTTCAGCTGCCCAAACATGGCACCTGATCCTGAAAAAATTGCGTTAGAAAACTATACTTCCCCTATAGTTGCTATAAAAACTTGAAAAGTTATAAATTATAAATGTATCAGTATCTTACTTGGCAGCAGGGGAATGCTTGTAGTGGTCATAAAGAGTAGCTGCATCACACAACGGGTCGCATGGTCTCCATTTACGTGGCCTATGACCACCGTGGCTCTTAATAACAGATGTCGCCGCATCCCCGACAGAGGCGACATCTTCCGCTAGCACCCTGGCTCTCTCAGCTGCTACTAAACCGAGTTTGTGCTTCTCAGAACACAGGTCTTCCATGATGAGCGAAGGCACAGAGTGAAATCTCGGATAATTCTCTGCGTAACTGGGTTCAGCCTTAAAATGAAGAATGTATAATTAGGCCTTTAATGGACGATTTGCGCTGAATTATGTCATTTGAAGCTGCCGTCAATAATTAGTAAGTGTATTATTTTCGCTGATATGCATGCGTTTTACGTCAAAATTTTCGAAGGGTATTAAAACAGAAGTCTATACTTGCCATTTTCTTCCTTGGGATTGTATCACACGTATATATATGTTAAAATGTATTCTGTTGCGATGCTTGAAAAAAAAACAATGGATGTAAGACAAATTATCTTCACATGATAAAACTTTTCTCCGTATTATTTTCCGTCCAGTTCTAACTTTTCGATTTCCATTTCGGAAAATGTGTAAATAATTATATTCTTGGGAATTTAATGAATGCCAAGGATCAGGCAAGAAACTGATTTCCTGACGTTTACAGTCTAAAATTGTTTCAATATGCTTGTATTTCCCTTTGCCCTGTTATTCTCAACGTGGAAAATAAATTTTGAAATACTGTACTCCTGATTTGGTTTCTATGCACTATTCGGAGAAAAAAGGCCGAACAAACAAGACTTGTAACAGTTCTCTGGAACAAAAGTCCTCAACCATTAAAGACACAAAAATACAACTAAAGTCTCCAACCAAATAAGTTTTTAAAAAAATAAGAAGCCACGAAATTTGACGAAAAAAAAATAAATTTGAAATCTAATACTTGATTTAAAATGATGACAGCAACCCTATGAGTTCATTGTGAACACCATAATGTATTTTCACCTTGAACCTATCCATTCCCCTGCGATGCAATGCACCACTGGATATTGTGGCAAAAGGGAACCCAGGTTCTCCATCATCCGATTCCCCACTATCCGGGTCTGTTCCTGGCAAATGTATCCTTCCGGTCTTCCTTTTCGGCGAACACGGCAAATTGGGCCGTGTATCACATGATGCAGGTTTCTCGGGTTCCACTGATGGTTCCCGACACGGATCAGACGCCTTACCGAGCGATGGACTAAGTTTAAAATGAAGAAAACCCGTTACATTACTTTATTTTCAAAATATATGACCAACAGTTTGTGTAATTTCTCGTTAGTAAATTGTAAAAAAAATCTGCATTCGAAATACGACGGTTTTACGCGTAATCAAAGCCAAGCAACTGACAAATCTTGAAATTTGAGTCCTCCATTAAATTATAGACAAAAATTCAGATTTGGCTTATTGTCGCACATTCCCTATTATGCCTACCTAGTCACAGTAATATTTGCCATCATTTTTTTTTTGCAAGATCTGCGTGCTACACTGAAGTGCTGTGTCCTAATCCTAAATAAAAACATCAACGAAGTGTTCTTGGTTGATTGCTACCTTAAATAGGCAGATGAAATACTGAGAAATTTTTTTGAATAATTTCTGGATAAATTGGTACGACTTTCTTTGCTTCAACTTCGCGGGAATCAGACATCAGTTACCCTTTACACATGCTCAAATTTGGGAAACATTCATCCGCTGAACTTTTTTCGGGTTGCTATATTCCTGGACATCTCATTAACCCACGCACAATATTTCCAAAGAATTCGATAAACCAATTTCGTTATAAAAAAGAAATGTCATGAACAGTTTCTCATAATTGAGGAATCCGTTAATTGAAGAAAAAACCTGGCTTGTGCTGGAGGAGCAACCCATGGCAGACGAACAAATCGTCTGCTTTGATCCCGGTATCGAGCTGAACCCTCCAATAACCATCCCAGGATTTCTCGCACCCAACCACGGTAATCCGGTCGTGGAGGAATATCGCAAATGTCGTAAGCTGGGGACCATGGACTCAAAGCCTTGGGCTACATTTTCAAAATTGAAAAATAAAATCAAATACTGCAGTAATAAAAAAACTGTAGTAATACTGTAGTAATAAATACTGGAGAACCTCCTCCATGTAATACTGCAGTAATAAATCAAGACAACTACAAAACCTTCGAAACAGCATAAAAGTTTCCGAAAAAGAAAAACAAAATTCACAACAGAAGCACCGAAAAATACTCAATTAAAAGTATTGTACTTCACGATGCACAAATATATACTGTACCTGTATAAATATATATTCCTGCCTCTCGGATCCTTATTCAAACATATGGGACAATTTTAAATTCAATGCATACTCTCAATAAATGTAATACGCATGGTAAGAAATCATATGAAACAGATTGCATTATAGTTACTTTAGTTAGCATTTGATTATTAAAGTTTTTCATGACGTTAACAATATAGCTAAATTAAAAAAAAAAATCTGCGGGGAACTCAAGAAAGTAAAGAATACCGATATTTTGGACCTCATACGTTTCAACCAATAAGTGCATTACAATTACTGATAATTTTACGTGGAGAAAATATATTTCCTTTTAGAATTAATCACCGAAATGCAGCGGAATTATGATAAATTATAATAAATAAACCAGTTGCGAAAAAAAAGAAGAAGAACGTTATTGAACTCACACCATCTGGACTTAGGTCTTCTCGAAGTAATTCAACCGTCACTGCTTCTTCGTGTTTTACTGTGCAAACTTTTCCTGAAGGAGAAATCGTTTCTGCAATCGGTTCTGGTTCGAGGCAAGTCTCCCAAGCGGCTCGAGTCGCTTTCATGGAAAAAGTGTACCTGAAAGTTAGCAACGGAAAATTGACGACGAGTTACTTATTATTATTGTTTTTGTGTAAACTTTTACTGAAGTTGATTCGACAATCAATTGTAACTTTACAATGACAAATATTGATGCACGAGCATCTCGAGGAAATCGTCGATTTCTTCGTCGCAAGGCAGTTTCGCAAAACATTCCTCAGTTGCAGATCTGGGAGTACATGGAGGAGGAGGTTCCACGGGTTCTTTCTCAGAGGCAGGACATTCTTCTTCACAGGGGGGTTCTGTTTTGTAAATGCATCCAGAAAAGAATGCAGAAAGAAATATTATGACTTCTCATCCGAAATTTCTTACTGTTCAATCCTGGAGAATTACGGTATTGTCTGGTTTGGGGATAATACATTTTTAAAATTGTTTTTCACTTATTTTCAATATTTTACTAGAAGAGAAACTTTAAGGTTTACATTACGTATTGATAAGAACCAATTGTGTTGAAAATGGGACCATTCGAGTATACAAAGCCATTTTCTGCTTGAGCTTCGAAAATATATCGTCTGCATCATAAAATACAGAATATACTAAAGTTAACATTTTAAAAATTAAATTATAAATGGAGCAATAATGCGTTATATTATTTCAGATCATTAGCAATGCAATCTTGTGAAAATCGTTGAATTTCAGACGCAATAGTAGGTGAAACAATCATATCCAAAGCTCGGGGTTTCAATTAAAATACACCACTGTCATTATGCAAAAATCTACCTTCTTCCTCCTCAGAAGACGGTCCAGGAACTCGACACTTGTCAAGATCAGTAACTCTTCCATCTGGCTGTTCGGATTTGCAATGAAAGTTTTTAGCTGGTGGGCAACTTTTTGAAATGAGAGAAGCGTGAATTCTATTCGAAACGCAGCTACAATCGTCAGCATCGGCGTCAGGGTCGAACAGCCAAGCTGACCCCTGTTCATCGTCATCAACATCGTCGCCGTCTGCAGTTGTAGCGGTGATAACCGAGATGTCGCTCGTTCCGGAAGAAGTATGCCTCTTTGCAAATGTTCTTCCGATTTGCGGTGCTGGGCATTTTGCGGGTTTCGCTAGATTTGTGGACATTTCCTTCCAGTAGGAATGACCAAGGAGATTTAAGAAGTTAAGATGAGAAAAATTTTTATTATATGACGGATGACCTTCAATGTTTCTTTAGGAAAAAACTTGCCCAGCAACGAATATTTTCTGCACACATCGTTTTCTTTTTTCTGATTCGTTTGCTTGTCGGAATTCGAAGCAAGTTGAAGGGATGACAGGTATTTTGATTCGAAATTTGAGAAAAATTTTATGATTTGTCTTATCTTCAGCTGCTGAGCATTATAAACATTTTAAACTTCATTCAAACACCTTCGTGTTTCTGTGACTATTCAATAATAGTTTCACCCAGTCTCATAATCACATTGAAGCTGATACAATATGCACTCAAGTTCATTAGTATTTTATATGATACCTCAGGTAAGTCGAACGGCTCAACTTGATGCGCAAAATTTGGCAATTTTTTTTTGCTGGGGCAGGACTCACGCCTCAATTTTTAATAACGTTTGTTGTCAACATTTCAGGAGTTGTGAGTTCGAATTTTCAATTTACTGTCTAAAACTACTTGAATTAAATTTTATTTCACCTGCTTTGTTTTATGTATTTGATCTGAAATTTTATAACAACTGATTCAACAATGGTATGCACTATCATTTTGGAGGATGGAAAAATTTGCATATCCAAGTATGAAAGGTACTCCTATTTTTTCCCCCAATTCTTGCGAAAAAATTGCATATGGTAATTAATGGGACATGGTTGTTTACTGCGTGTAAAGTCATGCAATATGTTATATGTACGGTGTATAGGTGGGCAATAGTTTGTTGTTGTTGTAAAAATACTACTACAATGACAATATCCTTGAAAATCGGCTATCAAATATAATGAATTCATATTACTCATATTTGGTCAATCTGATGAAAGCTGAGCTTGTCAGACTATATTGCTTTATTCGAAAAACTGCATCAGTCTGTGAATGCTGATTAAAATAATTTCCTGACCATTTTTTTTTAAATCGTCCCGCTAAAATCCTTTTACCAAATTCGGTCGATTTTATTTCTCCATCCTGAAGGAACAACAAAGCTGACAATACCGGCAGTGAGTGTGTGAGAAAAGCAGTTACATAGGGATTTTTTCAGGGTTACCAACAGGGCACCAAATATAAAAAAGACCAGAATAATAGCTTGGCTTTCAATAGTCAACAATTGGACGACATGGTGGGTCACCATCTTGTGGTTCATCAGCACAGTGGCATTTCCTGGTACCACGGGAACTTGGGATACACATCTGATAATCTTGACAGCCTCCATTTTCAAAGGTACACGGAGTGACATCTGCGAGACAAATAATTACTCAATGAACAAGTCCGACCGAATGAATTCAACGGTATTCATGCAAAAATCCACGTATAAACAATATTCCGTATTTTATATGACGCCTGCAAAATTTTTCAGAAGCACACTTCGGTTGAATTAGTTTCACAAGACGAAATTTCCATGTCTCCTAATGAAATTAACTCATTATTCAAACTCATAAACTTATACAATGCTTGAAATTTTGCCCAGAACCTGTTATTTTCGTGGTGATGGAATTTTTTTGTAATTGCGCAAAATATTGTTATATGAGTATTTTGCCATTCAGAGAACTCATCTAGTAGTTGAAATTGGTATGTTGGAATAAATATAAATATAAATATGTTGGTATAATATGCTTCACCTTCTGAAGGCCGAACAGCCATATGACTAAAAATCTTAAATGCTTTTTTTCGCATTATTATTTTTCAAATAATTAAAAATTCAGATTCAAAACAATCAAATTATACTACATCTATTTTCCAGAAACTCTTTATATACCTGGTGAGGGATTTTTCTGTCATTGCAAAAAAATCGCGGTATATATGAGCACAATGAGACCCAAAAATGCAGACACCCGAAACATACAAACGATTTGACTCGGGGACAATTGAAACGTTTAAAAATTGGGCCTGAAATCTGGATATAGATTATCTTGACACACGGACACTTTTCCAGCATTTATATAAAGTGAAAAGTTTCAATTTTTCAAAATTTGAATATCTCTTGAAAGAATGAGCTATTAATATCCACAGAGGTTAAAAATTAATATCATTACATGTTTACGGTACTCAATTAACTTATCAAATAATGGTTATTTCGTGCCTAATTTTAGCATTCTCTATCATTGGTGTACAGGATAGCATTACTTATACTTTTTGTTCAAATGTTTGATTCCTTTTGATGTCAGAAGATCATATAATGTGTGGTTTTATCTATTGTATTCTGAATAGTTATAATGTATTCTGTATCTTTAGTAGAGAAGCACTGAAGTAAACTAAAATCCCCTAAATAGGGATCAAAAATTACTTGACCTCTTGGTTAATTTAATAAACGGTAACTTCAGATACCCTTTAGTTCCAAACTGTACGTTTATAAGACTGTATTCTAGGTCTCGTACACAGTTCTAGCAACAAATGCGTCCGCATCTTGGGGTCTCATTGTATTTTGTTATTCAGCGACCTCATATTGTACTTGACATTGGCGAATTCGAATAAATTCTTCACCATCTGAGGGACAAACAGCTGGCACAGCAGCCACCCCATAGAGCCTGGCTGTTTTCGCAAATGGCACATTCAGGGCTTTCACACTGCTGGGATCCCTCTTGCTGGCTGTCATGATGGTCTTGGTGTCCCAGTCAGTCCAAAAGTACTTTCCAGCGGTGATGGACAGGCCGAAGGGCCGAGCAGCAGCTGTGATGATCCTCTGCGAGGCGCCATCTTGCAGCGAGAGACACGCAATGTGTGCCTTTCCAGCGTCCGCCCAGCAGAGTTCATCGGTGGACAAATCAACGGCCAAGGCACTGGGCAATGCGACCTGGGCACGAATCAGAGTCCTCCTGCGTCCACCATCTTGATCCGCCTCTTCAATCTTTGGATTCTCGCGGTTCCAGTCAGACCAATATATCTTCCTGAAACATCACAGTGAAAACAATTTCTTTCGCAATCTTATATTGATAATAAATAACATAAAACATGTAAATACCAAACAATAAATAGAAATATGTTGCACAGCACAAAAAAAACAGACTCGAACTACTGCGTGACCGTTTGCACGCCGTCTTTATATGCTTGCACAAACGCGAATTTTTTCCGCAAACCCAGGCAATACTCCTTAACTCCACCAAAAATAAAAGAAATTACGAAGTAATTTCGAATTTTGATGAAGCAGCAATTTAATTAGATGAAAGTGCTTACGTTCTTCGAGAGTGAACTGCGATTCCCCTGGGATTGACCAACTCAGTGGACACTAGCCGCTTTTGGCGACCATTCTTGAGCACTGCCACGTCAACGCTTTTTTGCACAGAGTCCGTCCAATAAATTAGGTTTGATTTCCAGTCCACTGCCACGCCCTCTGGCGAGGTTACATCTTGGAATAACATGAAACAAAAGATGAAAACTCAGTTTGAAGTGGGTCGCTACAGAACGGAAAAATTCTCATATTTCAGCAAGTTCAAGTTTAACCATCAAACTTGAATAAACTCAGTAAAAGTAAAAATGTTTTTGCCCATTCAAACCCGGAAAATTTGTGAATTTTAGAAACTCGAGAACTCAAATTTTTGCCAGGATTACACCAATTGCGTACAAATAAATTTTAAATCCGCAATTTACTCTGATTACTTCCTGAAATACCTTCTTACATGACCAACTTCCTGAAATAACAAACGTTTTTTAGCACTCTGAATTATGCTTAGTATATATGATGAATTAAATTTTTTATAAATTGTAACTCTATTAATGAAAACATCGTTCTGCACCATGAAATTTCAGCAATAAAAACTAATGGGGGACAAATTCTATTTTGAGCAACAACTTTGGATTGGTCGTATTCCCACAGGAAGTAAGTGGAAGATGTTGTCAAATTAAAAATTAAGTTATTGGCTATGAAAAATGTAGAAAATGGAGTGTATAATTGAGGACAACGATCCAGAGTTTCAGAAAAAAACGTACTTTTCTCTATGAAAACCTTCCTGTCAGATCCGTTGAAGTTTGCGGACCAGATGGAGCCACCAGAAATGTCCCCATAGTATATCTTTCCGCGCACACAGTCAGCATCAATGCCAACTGCAGTTTGTAATGGATCCAACAATATGGGTGCTCCTGAATCACTGATGGTTGGTTCCAGTGGTACTTTCAGTACTGACATCCCTTGAGCAACAAACATGGCCTCTCCCTTTGGTCTCACAGTCTCTGCATGAAAAAAAACAGACATGATTTTTGGATCATTTAAAACTATGAGCCTTACATATACTATATATTTACAATTTAGTTATAGTCAAATCTACCTTCAGTACTACAATCTGCCCAAGATCATTTACAGGCTCTGAAAAAATATTGCACTAATTCTGGGCATTTGCATTTAACACATCAACATCCCGTATTTACTCAAGTACCACGCACACCTTTTTTCCCAAATTTCAGAAGAAAAAAAGGGGTGCGCCTCATAAGTGGGTACAAAATTTTCAAGAAGTTTTAGGAAGTTATGTGTGCATTATACTTGATTATAATGGAGATATTTTGAGCAGATGTAACAAGAAAGCGTTTTTTACTGAAAAAGTTGAAAATTGATGAGATTTTTGTTCAAATGCATGCATAAAGTCAATTTTTTGGTTTTTATTTGAAAAATTTTGTGGTTTCAGATTCACTAAAAATTAGGGTGCGCATCTTACTTGGGGATAAGATTTTAGCAAAGTTTCCAACTCAAAAACCCCTCCGCAAGCCTTACTGCTGGAGGGCGCGTGGTACTTTTGTGAATACGGTAATACACTGTATATAAATTTTTTGACATGAAGTATGTGGTCCAAAATTGATGGGTGGCACTAAATTGTTGACTGACTGCTGATGTAACACACCTGCACATTCAAAGCCATCCCCTTCATAACCTTGATTGCACCAGCAGCTATGTGTGAGTCCTCCAGGTCCAGGAACACAAACAGCATGTCTATGGCACATGGCTGGGTTAACATAGCAGGACTGGGCTGCCTGGCAGTCATACCCATCTCCCTTGAAACCCTGCATGAATGAGTACAGCATTTCATTAGCTGAATTTGCCTGATCTATATCTAGTAGTTTGTTTCTAATAACTCACTTGTGAGCATTGGCATCTTCTGCTGAATCCTGACCTTTCATCAGGGTATGGATTCACACACTCAGCATTGGGTCCACAGTCAGAGTCCACAACACAGGGTAACATGTCCAGCTTGCAGGATGCCCCATCACCAGAGTAGCCCTCATTGCAGATGCATCTGTATTTCTTGGTCACCATGTCATACCTGCAAGTGGCATGCCTGTCACAGTTGTCTACAATTTCGCAACCCACATCTGGAAATTGAAAAAAAATGCATTACACAACAAAGGCAATGAACATTTTGAATTAAACTCACCAGGAATGGGTTTGCAACTCAGACCATCTCCTTGGTATCCTGGGTTGCACTGACACCTATCTCTGACAGTATTGATATCAAATTTGCAGGTTGCATTTTGGTCACAGTCCACATCACTCTGGCAGTAATCTGAATCAACCAAGTTCGGCCAACAAGTTCGAAAAAAAAACAGAAGTTCAAGGTACTCACCAGAAATAGTACAGGTCTTTCCATCCCCAACAAAGCCATCCTTACAAACGCAAGCATATTTCTCACTCCTAGGTTGAAATAAACAGTCCGCATCCAGGCTGCAAATGTTCACCTCATCACAGGAAACATCTGACAACAAAATCAATTTTAATGTGTTAGTGGTCAAGATTTTTAGGGTCTAGAAACAATCAAGTACCATGCATTTCTTCACAATGTGCGCCATTGCCAACAAATCCTTGATTGCACCTGCACACCTGGTATCCAATACTGGGATCATATGCACAGTCTGCATCCATGGCACAGTCTGTCCTCAAAATGCACTGCACTGCTGCAAGATCAATCCATTCCACCCATTTGTGACACAAATGTTAATCATCAGACAAGAACTGTAGTAACGGTGGTACCCCAAAATTCAACCCTAATCCATTGCTGGGTTATGGTCAATTTGTGACCTGGTCAAATTACCACGCTATGTCAAATTCAATCTATAAAACATTATGCATTTGATGTTTTACATCATCTATCTGCAGGTAAAATTTCAGGGCAGAGGTCAAATTGCACATCAACCTCTCTGCAAATTTGACTGTCAAATTGCAAGGTACCATCTGTATAGTATACCTCCATTTATAAGTCCCAAGTCATGGTCATGGATTTCTGGATGACACCTCCTGGTCTCTGCATCATAGAAGTGGTGCTCTGAGCAATAACATATGCCATTTTCACACAGAGGAAGAGGCTCAGATGAGTGAGAGGAGTTGCTGATGCAAGTGTAACCATCTCCCAAGTAACCAGGATTACACACACAAATGTCTTGCATCATGGGTATATCATACATGCATGTTGCATGTTGGCTGCACATGTTGGATCTTCTGCATGATTCTGTTGCAAAGAAAAATCATTCATGTTATACATTTGGACTGTTTTGAGTTAAACCTTCCAACACATTCAAATGTCAAGTTAATCCCTAGCCAATTATCTTGCATTGGATGGAATTGAATCTTTTCTATAGCACAACTTTTTGGTTAAACCTCAGTTAGAAGTAATTTTTTAAAAACAAAATTGGGGTTACATTTCATAACAGAAGCCAAAAACAGATGGACATTATTTCCTGTGTGCTCACCAAAATGGATTAGGTATGTTACTGTTGGTATGATATTTATGAAAAATAAATAGTTTTGATAAGTTGGCAATAAAAGGTGAATAACCTATCCAAATGAAGCTTAATTCCACGTCTCAAAAACTCCGCCAATTTTTAAAAATTTCATCCTCTTATAATTTATAGCAGTGTTCCCAAACTTTTTGGGCCAGCAGACCAGCAAATTTCCATGAAAATTTTTCTAGACCAATAAATTTTCACAAAATTTTCTGCAGACTAGCGAAGTTTCATAAAATTTTGGCAGACTCAAAAAAGTTTTTTCTGAAACACTTCATGACAGGTTTATTTTAAAAGTTTCTGCTTTTTTGCAAAGTTAAGAACCAATGAAGCAGCAATAGTGAAATGTCTTCAAAAATTGAAAAGGTGGGCTTGAAGAAAGGTTAACAGGATGAAAAATGTAAATAATTTATTTTATGAGGTGACAATGAGTCAAAAGTGTTATTAGGAGAAAAGCCAACACTTAATTTTCATTTTACGGTATAATATTTCTTGCGACAACATCCCTCATCACTTTTGATTTACTGTATTTTGCTGGAGAAAATTTCCCGCAGACCAGCAAAAACAAATTATGCAGACCATCGCTGGTCCGCGGACCACTCGTTGGAGACCACTGAATTATTATACAACTTCAAATTGTAAAAATATGCAACTTATAGATGAGTATAAGGCTTACCATACACTGGGTCAGCATTCGGGATACAAACCAAACCATCGCCAGTGTGTCCAACCTTGCAGATGCAGAAAATTTAGAGAAATTAACTCGTATGAAAATCACCGTCTACGAGAAGAAAGTTAGCAGTAATTTATTTTATTCTGCCAAAACGTTTTTGCGTCCACCGGGACAAACTGCTGTGGCTGAATCCTGCTGGGAAACTTTGTTATTCCATTTGATAATGTTTGGCAAGTAAATGCTCATAAATTTATAATTCAACTGCTGGGTTCAGATAAAAATTCCGAATCAAAAATTCACTCTCATTAGTGCAAAGTTTACACTTCAGCACGTGTTTCATTGGCAATTATTTTCACTGAAACACGAATGTTTAATTTGAACACGTTCTTCATTATTAAACATTCTAATTATGACCCAAGTTTCATAATAAATCATTTTTTATTGAATTAATTTATAATTACCTACAGTTTTAGAGTCTGTGGAAGATTGCTGTAAGAAATTTTCCCTTGTGTTTACAGTTTGGATGCAAATTGCATACTTTAAGAATACCGGTAAGTGTTTTTTTTTCTGAACTTGGTAGCCAGAGCATGGAGTAGTGGTATTCGCCGCATTTCTATCCAGAATCACAAATATTATGCATAAAATCAAGGTTCTCACTGTGGCACGTAACCCCGTTGCCAGTGAACCCGTTTCTGCATTCACACCTGAAGCCTCCAGGCATATTCAGGCAGAGAGCATTCGGGTGACAGTTGTGTCGATTGGTCACACACTCGTTCACGTCAACGCACTGGGGTTGAGCTTCGAATCCTTGAGCCACGTACTCAAACCTAAAACTTAAAACTTGAAAGAAAAGAAAAACAACGAGTAATGGTTCAGATTTTGTTACCCCTTGTTACAGGCACAGTCAAAAGAGTCTCCAGCTATCACAATGCAGGAGCTGTTTGGTCCACATTTCTTTTCTCCTTGCTTGCATGGATCATCATCTGTAAGAAATATGGTGAGCAGTACATGAAAATACCGTTAACGATGTTGACTTTCAACCGATTTGATTCATTATTAATATTCATTATATTTTTGAACACACAATAAAAAAAGACTACGCTTCTGCTGAACAACGCACCAGTGCCACGTGGAAGTATTTTCTGAGTAGAAGCATATCTGACAATCTCCTCCTGGGGATCATAGATTATAAATGACCTGGAAACCTTCAGCAACAAAGTCTTGAACCTAGGATCCACTTCAGGGCCGAACATACACGGCGAAAACTCGATTCTTTGCGTGACCATTGCCTCAAGAATCTGCGAGCCAATCTTGTAGGCTCTTTTGCTCTTTGACTGCATCTCACCTGATGAATAAAACCTCATGTACTGTAAATTGTCTCTTAGTACTGTATATAATATGAGTTGACGCCGTTTTCAATACACACCTCTGGTGATTCGTGTGAATTCATCTGAATATTCTCCCAGCTCTACAGCAGATCCTGGGGGAACAGCAGGAATACTACCTCTGACATGAAGATTCAGTTTCAGAAAATCAAACACATCCACTCCAGGGAAATGTGCATCCACATAAACCCTGTCCCCAGTGGATAAGAAGTGCACTTCTGCTGAGTAGTTGAAGACACCACCTATGAGAGAGGAACAAAGCAAGTAACATACTTGCATACACTTCAATAAATGCCTTGAGCATTCAATTTAAATATTGAGATTTTCTTTCTGGAATTTAAAAGAAACTGGCTTCCATATTAGAGACCAGCCAATATTCAGCCATTATTGGCAAAACTCCAGTCATGGCTGCAGAACAAGAGAAAAAGAAGAGAAAAAGGAAGGGAAAACCCTCAATGGAAAATAGGAGAGAATTTTTCTTGGAAAATGAATTAGGGATGCTTTAAGAATTATTCAGGGCATAAGAGGGTTTCTTTCTTTAGATTGCAAGATACCGGTGTAAAGGATTATTTGGATGGAAATACAGTTGACCCCCCCACACAATGGATTTTTGCACAACAGACTGCCTCTGGAGGTGGTTTTCCCTCCTGCACAGCAGACTAAATCTGCATAGCAGTCTTGTGTTGGTTTAAAATTAATGGTAAAAAGTAAAAATATTATTTTTTAATAATTGCAATTGCATAGCACACTTTTTACACTACAGACTGGTCTGTTGCACAAATTCAGTCCATTTTGCAGGGGTTGACTGTAATTCTCAGAATTCTTTCCCCCATCTTTGACCCAGTTACTATTACAGACTACTGGCTGCAATTTTCTTCAAGCTGTTCTGACACTCAACCATTGTTATGGACATGGCCTCAACCAGATACTTGAAATTTCTCCAAGCAAATATTACACAGTAATTTTGTTTCCTCATTGAAACATGGAAGCAAGTTATGCAGCATAAAGGCTTTTTACAATAAAGGTAGGATTGGGACCAGTAAAATATACTTGCGCTCTAAATACAACTTTTTTTTATAAAGTAACTAAATTTAATCTTGTGGCTACATTGGGCTGGGGCCTAAACATGACTTTGTTGTAAGCAATTATTTGCTATAATGAGCTTTGTTGTAACAAGATTCATTTGTATACTAACCAGTGAGTTCAAATGCATTTGGAGCTCCTCCTCTGGGTTGTGCAAACAAAACCCCGATCATGTCCTCCAGCACTGACAAGAGCTGCATGCTCCACCCTAATCTTGGAGGGATCCTGGAAATGCCTGAATAGCCTCTGCCCTCATGGGTGACCACGTAAGCATCAAGCACCTGGTCCTCAACTGAAACTCCATTTATTTCCAAGTTGACTGTCCCTGTCATCCTCAGTGGCTCATCTGATGGAATAAGAAAGCTAACTTGGATTGACCCAGAACGGTGATTCATCATCAAATTTCACACCCACTCTCTGGAAGACAAGTGCGCCCATTTCCATAGAAACCACTGGAGCAAAAGCAACAGAAGCCAGGAAGAAAATCAACACATGATCCCTTGCTGTGGCAGTATGTTGCTCCTGACGTACAAGATTCAACTGTGTCCTCATCTGCATATGGAGGACATGGAAAAGTTCGTAAGAAAAATATTTTGTTAAGCATCATGAAAGCCAGCAACAGCATGCAGTCATCTCTCACATCCCAAGTGTCCCAAAAGAGATCCAGTCTTTGAAAATCAACGTAAAAAAACAAAATCACTTGAAAAAATGTAAAAATTTCAGCGTCTCATGTTTAATTTTTTTGGGAGAAAATTCAAAATTTATAGAAGAGGAAAGAAAAGTTTGGTTTTACCTTATTGACTCAAACCACCCCAGGTTATAAAAATTTGGTCTATAGCCCCTCTACGAATTCCCTTCAGATCAACCTGAGATAAACCTCCCTAACTCAAAGACTTTCTGTTCAAACCTCTAAAACTCAAATTTTGGCTTTTGAGCTAATATTCCGGAGACACAGGAAAGAAAAAAAGAACAATATAACTGTTACCGTATTTACTTGAGTAACATGTGCACCTTTTTTCTCAAATTTCAGACACAAAAAAAGGGGTGCATGTCATAAGCGGGTACACATTTTTCAATAAGTTTTAGGAATTTATGTGTGCATTATACTTAATTATAAAGGATAAATTTCAAACAAATGTAACAAGAAAACTTGTTTGTACTGAAAAAGTTGAAAATTGATCCAATTTTTGTTCAATTCATGTTTAAAAGTCAAATTTTTTGGATTAATTTTCTAAATCTTGTGGTTTTAGATTCACTGAAAATTGGGTTGCGTGTCTTACTTGGGTATAAGATTTTAGCCAAATTTCCAACTGAAAAACCCCTGTGCTCCCCTTACTCAAGGGCGCATGGTATACTCAAGTAATTACGGTACATGTATTTTGTTTTTTTCTAAGGGAAGTGAGTGACTAATTCAGCAAATGCACCTTTGCTCAGCATTTTGAGGCCCAGAAAACGCCAATTTTACATGTTTAAATGATCTAATTTTTCACAGCAAAAATGCTGGTTTCCATTTTTCAAGAACTCATATGGGCAAAGTTTTTGTACATCTTTCTAAATTTTATTTGAACTGTAAAAATGTTGACTTTTCCAGCCTTTAAAATTTCTTAATTTTAGAGAGTTCAGAGTTTTGGAATGTTGGCCAATAACACACACTACAGTGAAATACGCAGGTTATTGAAGAATTTTTTGCGAGTGTCTGAAATTTGTTGGATAGGTTTTCCAATAGAACTTGAGAGAAGTCATGTTTTGCGTAACACGCATTTTCCGCATAATGAAACTCATCCTGGAATGGATTAGTTTTGTTATGCCAGGACCCATCACTGGTTATAATTTTATTTTTATTTTTTTTCCCCCGTACCAGTCAAAGACCCCAGATCAGGGGTTTGGACTTCGTCTCCCATCCGAAAAATCCACAGGCCCGGGACGCCAACATTCGATCTCCTGGAGAATGAACAAGCAACGTTTCGTTGATTGACGGATTAATGCAAATCTCTCTCGGCTCGCGGAAACACACAGGTACACACTTGTCAAGGTGAACCACCTGCTCTGTGCCAGATTCCTTGACTGACAGCCAGGCTCCGCGACCCGAAGTCAGACCCACCTGGGCCCGGGCATCTTTCAAGTGCGGGTTCTTGCCTTCACTCTGGGACCACTGAAGACCACTTTCAGGGTACAAGAACCCTGCGAAAGATTCCTGACCGTCTGATGCCACCACGACTTGGAAGCTGTTTTTCTGCCGAATATTTGAAGAATTTAGAATGGATGAAAAAGCGAAATTGATCTCCGTCAACCATGAAATTGCAGTAAGACCCCAACATGCTGACGCCATAACATATGCGGACGAATTCAAAAATAAGGGACATTCGGAACTTTGAAATTTCTACCCCGACAGCCGGACAATGTCTCGAGATATGGACACTTTACGTATACTGAACAGCATTTATCAGAAATGGGAAATTTTTATCGACGAAATTTTAATGTATCTTGGACGAAGTGAGCTATTTATACTGAAACAAATAAAAAATTAATTCCATTATACAGTACTCTAATTCATAATAAAAAACACTCGAATTTTTTGCTTCTTTTTCAGAGTTTTCCCATCATCTGTGCACAGTGTAGCTAGATTTACTCCTTTTCTTTGCTTTTTGAGCTCCTTTTGATGCCAAAAGATCAGATTCTGTGTGGGTTTTTTTTTCTCATCTGCTCAGTTTTTTTTCGGTATCTTGAAGTAAAAGATGATAAATTTTGGGGTATTTATTCCTAACTTTTGATAAACGGAAAATTTAAGGAAATATGTTCGCATTGAAGTCATCTGTGATGGAAAACGTGATCCGACATGCGGACGCTCCGACATAGGGACAAGCTCCACTCACCAATTATACATCCGCATTTATAGGGGCCCCACTGTAATTACTGTAAGATATGCAGTAAATATTATTATTTTTACCAATGTCGAGTTTAAAACTCTTGATTTACTTCAGCACGAACTAACCTTGTCACTTTTGGCCTCGAAATACCCAACGTCGTTCCAGGTCGCAATCAGCAATGAAGTGGGCGAAAAGTCTCTTGACGCACTGAAATACCGTCTGATTTCCGTCTTGACCCTGTCTAGCAAGTTGGGGTCTGAAGTTTCTCTGTGAAACGAAAGGCAAGCTAGAAAATAAACGTATCGACCAGAAACCAAGCAGTTTACCTGTAAAACACGTTTCCAGAAGCCCGAGTGTCCACATCGCAGTAGAACGGGGAAATTGTTGGATAATTCAGCGGGAAAGGCACATTCACGAAGCTGGGTATTTCAGTGATGAAAGACAGCAAGCCGTTTGAATTCACCTTTGGAAATAAACCACGAGTTATTTTTAACGGCAAAAAGGGGAAATTGTCGGATAATTCAGCGGGAAAGGCACATTCACGAAGCTGGGTATTTCAGTGATGAAAGACAGCAAGCCGTTTGAATTCACCTTTGGAAATAAACCACGAGTTATTTTTAACGGCAAAAGTGTTAAAAATATTATGTCCCAACTATTACAATAATGCTATCATTTTAAAGCCCTGACGAGTTTTTTTTTTCGCGATACACCGTTGATGAAGCATCGCGGTTTATTTCGCTCTTATGAAAAGAAATACTTCTGGAACCCTTTTTTTAATTTACATGCAGTATAATCATCATCATAATCACAAAATCAAAGCATACTTTGTTTAACTTTTCAGAATTTGCTCTTCGAAAATTACGCTTGGAAAAATAATCAGAAAATTACGACTTCGCAAGTTTGAACCTTGGTCATATTGGTTTTTGCCTGAAATCATCTTACCTTGTTCTCGAAAACTATAAGAAAATCTGAATTTTGAATAATTTCATTTCTCATTGAATAAGCTTGATAAATGTTGCAAGATAAATCCGTTTTGAAGAGCTACGTTTGAAAAACCTTTTCACTGCCTGAAAAATTACGGAGTAAATAACGAAGAAAATAAATTCGTATCCGAAACCAGTTCCGATATTAAAGGAGAAGCTATACAAATTGTATATCAGTTTAATTTATCTACTTTCGTTGTATGGCGTCAGAAACATGTATCAATTTCCAAACTCTGGTATCTCTTGAAAGCTTTGATTATTCATTTTTTAAATGCATGTCATCCTCATCCAATTTTTTAAATGCGGTCCATTCTGCGGTTCCACAGGCAAATTTCTTGCAAATGATGCAGATTTTTTTTGCGGGGGAATGAATTCATTGATGAATATACAGTATACGATTTGTAAGTTATTTACCGTAATTGCGGTACATTCAGCGCCATACAATTTGGCATCGTCTGAAAGAATCTGGAAAATCTTCGCACGTTTTTATTCAACCTGTCGAGTTCGAATCTTTTCAACTGATGACACAGAACACTTGAAAATACATTTGATCCAACCAGTACATCGATAAGAGAACCATTCCATTATTTTTACATACAGAAGTTTTCGCATCAAAATTTTAAAAATACGAAACTAATCCTATAGTCAGATTCAAAAGGTATTCTAGAATAATTCTTTGTGATTAATTTGCCTCGTTAAAATGGACGGAAAAAATTGAACAATTTACGGAAAACTTTCAGCGAATTTATGCTGCCAAAAAATCTCTAGTAATTCAGTCAAAACCACCAAGTAACTTTCTTCTGATGTAGTAATTTTAAATGTCTTGAAGAATATACACAATATAAAAATGTTTTGAAGAGTAACAAAACATGATTGAATACAAGTGTTCCTTATCATTGAAAAACTGCAACTAGCATAACTGTATTTTTCATTTTCGGTGATGCACGTTTCTGCTTCGGAAAATTTTAGCTAATGAAGGCAGTGAGAAGTACAATATTGTAAGTTAAAATTTAGTTTGAATATTTATACGCATGCACGAGTAATTCCCTACTGTCCCTGAATAAGACGCTGTAAAAATATTTAAAAAATCGAGAAAAAAGCAAGCGTGTTTTTAAAAAAAGCATAAAATATCCTGCTTCGTCAAAATTCAGCACAAACCCCCTTTTCCCAATCATTATATACTCACATAAATGGAGTCGTACGAGTCCCCGTAAAACCAAATAGGAACCTTCAAAGTGACTTCCGGACTTGAAACGTCATCCCGGTCGCTGGGAAGTGACACATCCCCTTCTTCCGGCCCGAACGGAAGTAACTCGTTCCATAGTCCTGACACTACTACTACCGACGACACTAGGAGTAACA